ATAAAATGTATTATCACACCAAAATATTTTCCAAATAACCTTATATGAACAGAAATACAAAGCATAAAGTAAAATACATCAAAATCCTAAGTATTGTTTTCAGGGTTACAAAATTTTTTATTCTTTCTTCCTCTAAAATAAGTTCCTTTTAGCATTACATACACGTATTTATTTTTAAACACACAAATATACGTACATTCAAAATTCAAAAGGCATAAATGTACAAACCTCCCCTTCCTACTCAGTCTCATAACCAGCTAGTTTGCTTCTACAGAAGGAACTTTTGTTACCAGTTTCTTCTTTATCTTTCCAGAGATGGTCTATGTATTACTTTTTAAATTCAGAAAACCATGCCACATCATACTTCCTCAGTGAGGCTGGAAAGTTTGAACTACCGACATTTTAGCTCGCAGCTGAGTGCTTTAAACACTGTGTCACTAGAGTACCTTTATATAATACTACTTTTTCAATTCAGAAAACCATAAACACATATTTGCACGATTCATCCCTCTGCTATACAAGAGCTAGCAGCTTAATCCAGTGTTTATCCTCAAACATTCAAGCTCTTCTCCCTCCATTTTCTTCTAGCCCATCAGCAGCTCCTTTCCTAGTCTATTTCCTTAACAAGCCTAGATCCTATGGTCCATCACCAAAGCTATTATTCTCTTATTCTCTGACCCATACCACTGAATCCCTTGCCCTCTTATTTTCCATCACATTTATCACTATCAACTGTGGATTAGTGTTACAGCTTCCCTCCTGAGTCAACATAAGGCTGCTGAAAATAATACATCTATGTAGGCTTGTGCTGCTCCAAATTCATAAACCTCACTTTCAACTGGCCTTTATCACCAAACATCCATTCTTTACTTGGTTCTGGTCAACTACAATTCCCTCATGTTATTTCTTCATAAATTCCCTATTAAACTTCTCTCCTGACTCAGCAGAAGCCTTGCCTTCTACTTCACTGCTGGAATTGAAGCCATTAAATGCCTCCCACTCTCTTTAACCTTCTAAGTTATAAATGTGTCTACAGTACTCATCTAAACCCTCAACTGTTCTCTCTGGTCTCAGAAGAATTATTCCCCTCTTATTCAAGTCCACCTACTCTACCTGTGGTCTTTGAAAACTTCCCTTCCCCATTTCTTATAGGGCCTTGATCCATCAGCTGTTTCCCCTATTCATTCATGTTTAATCCTTTTGGATTCTTCTTTTCAGTCTATAAACTTGTTCAGGCCGCTCTCACCCTAAAAAATTACAAAACCTCTCTCAAACCTGCATTTTTTACTAATTTGCCTTATTTTTGTCTTCGTTTCTCATCTAAACATCTCAAAACCAGAGTACATTTGCTGCTTCTTCTCCCCATCACTCCTGAATTACCTTTACTATGGTTCTCACCTCAACCACGACACTCTTGGTAGACCTCTTTTAAGAGTCACCAAATAGATCCTCATTGCCAAATTCAATGCACAGTTCAGACGTATCTTACTAGCCTTCATTCCTGCGTCTGACGCTTATTTTTTTGAACTCTCTTCCCCTGGAGCTCTTGTAGTATAGTGCCTAAGGCATCTGACTGATAACTAGGTTGGCAGTTCAAACCCACCAGCCCCTCCACAGAAGGAAGACTGGGCAATTTGCTTCCATAAAGATTTACTGCCTCAGAAACCCAAACAGGGTCACTATGAGTCGGAATCGACTTGAGGGCAGTGTTTGGTTATTTTGGTCTTCCCCAAAGGCTTCCATGACTTCAATTCTCCTGGTTCTCCTCCTCTCTGAATGTTTCCTTTGCAATCACTTTTATGAGATGTCTTCTTCACATAAGTCCCTTAAACAGCATTTACAAACTACCATTACAGACTGAATTAGGCCCCCAAAAAATAAGTGCTGTAAATCCTAGCACTTAGACATGTGGTTATAATTCCATTTGGAAATGGATTTTCTTTGTTATGTTTATGACAGTATTAGTGTAGGCTGTGTTTTAAGTCAATCTCTTTTGAGATATAAAAAAGAAGACTGAGCAAGCAAGCAAGTATAAACAGAAGGAAAGGGAAGGTACAAACCACATGATCAACAAGGAATCTAGGAATAGAGGCTAAAAAAAGACAAAGAACTTCCCCCCAGAGTGGACAAAGAGAAAGAGCCTTCCCCTAGAGGCAGCTTCCCCCAAATTCAGACATCTAGCCTCCTAAACTATGAGAAAATATGTATGTCTGTTCATTAAAGCAACCCACTTATGGTTATTTATGTTATAGCAGCATTAGACAGCTAAGTTACTATTCTAGTGGAAAAACTATAAGCTTTAGCTCAGATGTGATTCAAATTCTAACTTTACCTATTATGACCTTTGACAACTTAAAAACCTCTAAGAAAGGAAAGTCAAAGGCATCCTAATCAGTAAGGAAGAAGTCAAACTATCCCTATTTGCTGATATGATCCTATACAGAGAAATTCCAAGAGACTCCTCAAGAAAACTACTGGAACTAATTGAGAGATTTAGCATAGTGGCAGGGTATAAAATCAACATCCAAAAATCAGTTGGATTCCTCTACACCAACAAAGAGATCACTGAAAAGGAAATAAGGAAATCAATACCATTTACAATAATTACCAAAAAAATTAAATAATTGGGAATAACTCTCCCTAGGGACACAAAAGACCTGTAGAAAGAAAGCTACAAATCACTACTCCAAAAAAACATAAGAGATCTACATAAATGGAAGAACATACCATGCTTGTAGATAGGAAGACTGAACATTGTGAAAATGTCAATACTACCCAAGGCAATCTATACATTCAATGCAATCCCAATCCAGACCCCATCAACATTCTTTAACAGTATGGAAAAATGAATCACTAATTTTATATGGAAAGGAAAGAGACCTCGAACAAGCAAAGCACTATTGAAGAAGAACAACAAATAGGAGGTCTCACATTCTCGGATCTTAAAACCTACTTACTATGCAGCCACAGTAGTCAAAACAGCCTGGTATTGGTACGACAGATACACAGACCATTAAAACAGAATTGAGAACACATAGATCCATCAACCTATGGTCAGCTGATTTTTGACAAAGGGCTGAAATCCATTAAATAGGCAAGAAGTGGTCTCTTTAACAAATGGTGCTGGCAAAACTGGATATCCATTTGCAAAAAAATGAAACAAGATCCATCCTCACACCATTCACAAAAACTAACTCCAGATGGATCAAAGACTTAAATGTGAAACCTAAAACTATAAAGTTCCTCAAAGAAAAACTAGGGACAAATTTAGGGGCCGTAATTTATGGCATAAAGAGACTGTCAAGCATAACACAAAATGTACAAACAGCAGAAGATAAACTAGATGAATGAGACCTTCTAAAAATTAAATTTTCATGTGTTTCAAAAGACTTCTTCAAAAGAGTAAAAAAAGAACCTAGGGATTGGGAAAAAATATTTGGCAATGGCATATCTGACAAGGGACTTACGTCTAAAGTTTATAGAAAACTCCAACTTCAACAACAACAAGATTAACAATCCAATTAAAAAATGAGCAGAAGACATGAATAGACAGCTCATCAAAGAGAATATTCAGGTGGCCAACAAACACATGAAGAAATGTTCATGATCATTAGCCATCCGTTGTTGTTGTTGTTTGCCGTCGAGTCGGCCCCAACTCATAGCGACCCCTCCTTGGGTTTCCGAAGGAGTGTCACTACAGAAGTAGGACCAACCTTCCTTCCGAGGAGTGGCTGGTGGGTTTGAACCACCAGCCTTCTGGTGAGCAGTCAAGTGCCTTAGGCACTATGCTACCAGAGGTCCTCCCTCATTAGCCATCAGAGACATGCAAATCAAAACAACAATGAGATACCATCTCACCCAAGCACTAATGGCAAAGTTTAACAACACAGAAAATAACAAACACTGGCAAGGATGTGGAGAGATATGGACTCTAATACACTGCTTTATTATTGTTATTTTTTTTGCCGTCGAGTCGGCCCCAACTCCTAGCGACCCCTCCTTGGGTTTCCGAGGCAGTATCACTACGGAAGTAGGATTGCCCAACCTTCCTAGCATACACTGCTAGTGGGACTGTAAAATGATACAACCACTATGGAAAGCAGTATGGCGATTCCTTAAAAAGCTGAAATTAGAAATACCATTTGACCCAGCAATCCCATTACTAGGTACATATCCTAAAGAAGTGAGAGCTAGGACAAGAAGAGATATATGCACTCCCATGTTCATCAAGGCACTATTTACAACAGCAAAAAAATGGAAGCAACCTACATGCCCATCAACAGAAGAATGGATAACCAAACTATGGTACATACACATAATGGAATATTATGCAACACTAAAGAGTAATATAGAATCTAAAACACCATATAAATGAATGAACTTGGAGGACATTATGCAAAGTGAAATAAGTCAATCACAGAAGGACAAATATAGTATTAGTTCATTATTGTAAAAAGCCAGGGAAAGTTTATATATGGAAGGAAACTTTCTTTGTTGGTTATCAGGGGTGGGAGGGAAGGAGCGGGAACACTGAAAAAAAAAAAAAAAGTACTGACCCATGTCAAAAAAAAAATTCTTCAGCACCTCAGCATGGTAAAAGGGTCTTCAAAATCTGGTCCCTACTTTGGAACCACTCTCTGGCACCTTCTCTAGCTATAGCAAACAGCTTGCAATTAATGTGGAAAAAAGTCAACATAAATCTACAATGTGAATCCATAATAAGCTTTCCACTCTCTTCTGAACTATTTCTGAATATGGAAGTCAATTATTTTATACAGACACGGGTTTAATATAGAGATACAAGCAGCAACATAAAGACATACTAGAGCATCTTCAGTAACATGCTAAAGAGAAAGAATTAAATCTATGAAAACAAAACTTTATAAATACATTTATCATTATGAAAATATCAATCATCACAACTAGAAGAAAGCTAATTAATATTTCCCAGGTGATCAGGAAGTATTAATAACCCAAAATTAACATAAAAGAAAACTTACTTTCCAGGCTAAATTGCAAAGACTCTTCACTAGTCTCAGTTTCAGGACTGACCAGTTTCATTCTTAGGCATAATTTATCATCTACTTCTGGGGCAGCCTCAGAATCCCCTTTTTCACTCCCAAGAATGGGATCATTAGTCTCCACCATGCTTTCAGACATGACATCACTGGTTGTTACAGTGCTTTCTGGATACTTGCTAATACCTGAAAGAAGGGAGGCAGGAAGAAGAAAGAAAGAACACTAAAATACAAACATGAAAAACAGCAATGCAAGGTTATTAATTTGCCTGTTTGACTCCACAGCTCTGCACGATTGAAAGGGGTCCTAGGATAGATCCTGCCACAAGTATCAACAACTACGCACTAGTACTGACACCTGGTCTTAAGAGGAGCAACAGGATTCAGTTCCACTTCTGCATCTGGACAAAGGATGCTGCATGAGCCCTCAGCCAACCCACATCTGCCAGCATCAGGCATAGGTAGCAGGAGACTCCAGACGGCATGACTGTTACCTCCCAGCACTGACTAGAGAAAACAAATAGGTTAATGTAGAAGACTATGGGCTGCGTCAGGGAAGGAGGATCTAAGTTTTCTTGCCCTGTCAAGCAGCAGACTGGATGATTAGCCAAGGTACTGAATAAATAGTACTTACATCCTACTTGCATCCCTTATAAAATAGTTCTGTATCTCTGCTCAGTACGCAGATTATATCTCCTTACAAGTAATAAGATCCTCATAAACATTCTTTCTTGTTTCCCTCCACCCTTTCTTCCCTTCCCCTCATCACTTCTTAACACATACTGGGAGTAAATGCAAAGAGTCAGACACCACAGTCTTATTGTGCTTGAGACAAAATTCAACCTTGTCAGGCCCAGCTCCTCAGATCTAAAAATATCACTTGCATAAAAAATGGTATCTCAGAATTTGTCTCAAATATTATTAATCTTTAATCACTCACCAATAGGAGTACTGTGTCTCTTGGGTTCCAATTTAAGGTGCCCAATGAGAGGTGGGGTTGTGCCAGTCAAGGGTGGGATAATATCACCTTCTTTAGGCAAAGTGAAATGAAATGGAGTTTCTGAAAAAACAAATAGCAAAACAAAACAGCAATAATAAACAAAAAGCAAACCAAAACAGAAGTATAAAATAAGAAAAATTAAGGAAAGCAACAAGGAATATTTCATTACTTACTCCTTTCCTGTGCTCCTAAATTGTTTCATTCCCAGTCCCTATCACTATGTCTCCAAACCAATTCTCTACTACAGGCATACCACAGAAATATTAAGGGTTCAGTTCCAGATCACCACAATAAAACAAATATCACAACAGAGCAAGTCATAGGAATTTTTTGGTTTCCCAGTGCATATAAAAGTTATGTTTATACTATACTACAGTCTAAGTGTAGAACAGCATTATGAAAAACTTTGAAATGTTGTGACAATTACCAAAATGTGATAAAAATGTGACAGAGACATGAAGTGAGCACAATGATGCTAGAAAAACGGTGCTGACAGACTTGCTCAAACCTTCAATTTGTAAAAAGTGCAATATCTGCAAATTGCAATAAAGTGAAGCACAATAAAAGAGGTTGCCTGTACTCCTCTCTCTGCTCTCTTTATAGTCATCAACAATAGAACTGATGCAAGAGAGGCAGCCAGGGAATAGGCAAACAGAGGAAGCCCAAAGTTTGGCAGATCTGCAGAAAAAGTTCTAAGATAGTACACATTTGGGGATACTCAGTGACATAAATTCAGATAGTGTGAAATCTACACAATGTAATTTTGTGCAGTGCTAACCCAAGGAGTCCATATATAGCCTTAACAGTCTGTAGGACCTTCATAAAGAAGTCTAACAGTAACATTTTTAATTTATAATCTACTCAAAAAGGTGCCAAAGGATCTCACAGGCTAAAAGATTTTGAAAGTCTCACTAGGTCTAATACAGAAATCCAAGAGTTTTATGTTCAGTAGTAGTAACTAGCATTCACTCTAGGCCAGAGAAGTAATGTTATATCTAAAACTCTACCCAACAATAAATCCCACATATCTGATCATCTCCAGTGGTTAGCTACTATTAAATTATTAAAGCATAAAACGTTTGTCAAGACATAAAACTTTACTTTTTAAGTAGGTCAATATCTAGTTTCAAAGCTTTGCTAATCAGAATTAGCAAATTGTCAAAAATCCTATTTTCTGATTTCTTAACTGTTTATCTCTTTTTTTGCTTTTGATAGTTTGCTTTTATTTGTATTTCTTATTTTTATTGTGGTTTGGGCGACATTCATCTCTTTTAATAAAATAACTGTGTTTGGGAGAAAATAACAACTGTGCTAGGTTGGCTGCTCCTCTTAAACCTAACATATGAAATTTTGTACTTACTTTCCTAGGATACCTCAAAATAACTACAATCTGTCATACCAAGTCACTACTCCTTGTAAATGAGTATTTTCAATAATATGGATAAATATATCAGACTAAGTTGTACTATGGCACTGTCTATTGGCTCTGCCAATTAACAGTATTATTAACAAGAATTCATGGAGAATACTTTTAAACAATACACTAGAACTAATATCCCAGTATTTTATAAGCTTCTTTTGCTGGGTTGCTCAGTTTGCACTTGACTGCTAACCAAAAAGCAGGCAGTTCAAATCTACCCAGTGGTACCACAGAACTCCTAGCAATCTAGTTCTGTAAGATTACAGCTATCAAAAACCCTAGGAAGTTTTCTCTGTTGGTTACTAAGGATGGGAGGAGAGGGAAAAGGAGGAAAAACAGATGGATAATTGAGACAGGTTTGACATGGGTGAAGGGATTTAAAAAATAATAATAAAAAGAAGACAGTTATTAATTCATAGTTTTTTAAGCTAGGTTATGGGCGTTCACTGTACTAGTCTTTGTTTCTGTTTGAAATATTTAATAATAAAAGAAGATAATCCTATGGAGCACAGTTCTACTCTCAAACAGGCAGGGTCACCATGGGTTAGAACCAGCTTGATGGCAATGGGTTCAGGTAAGAAGCCATATTAAAACAATCTGCCTAGTAGGCCTGGTAGACCCTGGTCTAGTTCAGTAACAGTATTTAAATGTTATGACATTACAAAAATATATGTAATAGAGAATTTTAGGTCATTAGAGTATCTCACCTATCTAATTATCAGAATCAAAGAAACTACATTATATGTTTTTACAAGAGGAAAAAAGTATAGACTTGGGAATCAGGAGACTTTCCAGTCCTACTTAAATCATTAACTACCATATAACTTCAGAAAGAGCTTAAACCCAAGAGCTTGAACCCAAAAATCTCTAACATCCTTTCCAGAATTTTAAACTTCTGAGAAAGTGTCTACTTTTTTTCAGCTAACATCACACATAATACTCTACAAATACCTTAGAAAGCTGTTTGTGTTCTCCTGCTGAACTTGATAAAATAAGAAATACAAACTAATGCATTTTATATTTAAGAATTTTACTCTGCCCATAAAGAAGAAACAACCAATAACAGTATATGTATTAACAGAGTTCTGAATGTGACTTTACTATATAGAGTAATAACCAAGATCCTTGTACTTCAAGACAACTGTCAAAATATAAAAATATAAAGCAAGGCTGGGATCTAACTAGAAAAAAATAGATTGATTCAATTTCTAAATACTTGTAAAATTCATGTCAATTACTTACTACTGAATGATAAAGCTGATAAATCTCAAATGATCTCTGATCCCACAAATAATTACAGCTATAGAAGAAAAATGTAACCCAAAATTTCAAATTTTCCAATTATTACTGGCTGCTCATAAACATAAACCCAAGTTCACCGTCAGACTTGACATAAGCATGTGGTTCTCACCTATCTCTTATTCTAATTCGGTTGAACAATTTATCATCACACTCACCACTGGAGTTTTCACAGAAGCTTTGTGAGGCATGGGCAGAGGCCTTCTCCAGTTGCTGGGCCTCTACTCCAGAGCCCAACTGCTTTGCATCAGCCATTTTTGAGTCTTCTGTTAATGCATCACCTGTTTTCTCTTGAGGATGGGGTTGCTGCATTTCCTGGTCAGGTCTTGGAGTATCATCTGCTCTCACTGAAGGCAAAGGGGACTGTGGAGAGTCTTCCTCTACAGGTTCCTTTTCTGAAGTTAGTGATTTCCGATCTTCATATTCTACACTCTTTTCCTCCTGGATATCTGGTCTATTCTCAGCACTAGGTTCTAGTTCTGGAGCAACATCCTCCCAGGACTGTGAATCTGAGCATTTTTCCATTCCCTCCAATGGTTCAGAAGAAACATCAACTCTGGGGGATGGATTCTTCACATCTACAATGACAACACTCGAGTCCTCTGAAGTAGCTTCTTCCCAAGCTTCCTGATCTTTGTGTTCCAATTCTTGGTCAAGCACTGGCAGCTTTTGGGGAGAGTCAATACTAATCACACTGGTTTCAATTTCCATAGCTTCCTGACATTCTTGTTTTGAGATTTCATTTTGAAGACACAACCCTTGAGACTGAGTTTCAGTTAAAGAAAGATGAAATGGTGTGCTCTCCTTATTTTCTTCTTTGGGTTCTTCTTGACTTTCACAAGGAGTTTCAGGGATTTCTTCTACCTCAGACCCTGAAGACCCCTCCTCTGGATGGTGGTCTTTAATTTCAATAGCTTCCTCCTGATCTAACACACTAGAGAGTGCCTCAGATCGAGTAGCTGGAGAAGGAACTGCCTGACTTCCTGAATCACAAGTGAGATCAATACAAATGTCTTCTGCTACAGTCTCTTCTCTGCCTTTGCAACCAGTAGCTAAAATATTAATGTCATCTCTGGTCTCTGTATCATCTTCCTTTGTTTTGTCATCATTATGACCCAGGTCTACTTTGTCATCCTGTGCTGGATGCATTAAGATACCGTCATTTTCAGTGGGGACAAGTTTAGAATTGAGAACTGGAGACATGGGCTCAGTATTCTCAATCTGTGTGTTTTCTCCATCTTCATCAATCCTATGGGAAGTCAAGTTCTCTATCTTTGGAGACTGACTATACTCACTCGTTGAAAGCATCAACTTGCAAGAATCCCCTGTCAAAGAAAGCCCAAGATCCTCAGTGGAATTCTTTGGCTCAATGTCTGAGGTTTTAGAACACTCCACAGTCAAAGATGAACTATGCAAGTCTGCATCTTTCTTTCCATCATTTGATCCTTCTTCCAAACTTGGAGACGGAATGAAAATGTCCTAATGAAGAACAAAAAGAGACAAATCATCATTTGATCATATTTCTTTTATCTCCAATCCTTGGATTCACCTGAAATTTTTAAATCAATTATTCAGGTCAAAAGGTGAAAAACCCTAGGACCATAATTTCATTAACACAAAGGTCATAATCTTTTCATTAATAGTTCCTCCATTTAATGTCTTTCTGATTAATAATACAGAATAAGGATAATGTATATAAAAACCTAAATTTACCTGTGTATCACCAAGCTACTAAAAACACGTATGATGAATCCTCAATTACATATAAATCATTTGAACATATACCTACACAGCCCACTACAGTTCTTACAAAGCACAAATAATGTATTCATTTTACCTCTATTTCAAAATATGCTAGCATTCTTAACAGATATTAAAATCTACGGCTTACGATATCATTAGTCATCAGGAAAACTCAAATTAAAATCATGAGGTAGCACCACATACCCACAAGAACAGCTAAAGTTAAAAAGATTGACGAAAACAAGTGTTAGTGAGGATATTGAACAACTGACTCTCTCATACACTGCTAGTAGAAATGCAAAAGTTATAGCCACTTTGGAAAACAGTATAGTTTGTTATTGTTGTTAGTTGCCAAATAAATTCATGGCAACCCCAAGCATGTAGAGTAGAATAGTTCCACGTGATTTTCAAGGCTGTGATCTTTTAGAAGCAGATCACCAGGGCTTTCTTCTGAGATGCCTCTGGGTGGATTCAAATCACCAATTGCTTGGCTAGTAGTCAAGTGCTTAACCATTTGTGCCACTCAGGGACCCCCAAACAGTAACAGCAATTGTCTTATAAAGTTACACATACATTATCCTATGACCCAGCAAGTAAATTCATAAGTATTTACCCAAGGGAAATAAAATGCATGTCCACACAAACACATGCATGCAAATGTTCACAGCAGTGTTATTTATAACTAAATGTTCATCAACTGGTGAATGGAAAAATAAATTTTGTTTATCTATATAACAGAATACTACTCAACAATAAAAACGAATGAAATATTAATCATTCAACAAGATGAATGAATCTCAAAAACACACTAAGCAAAAAAAAGTTAAGCACAAAAGACTATACACACTTCATGATTTCGATTATATGGAATTCTAAAAAAAACGCCAAACTATAATGACAAAAAACAGATTAGTGGTGAAGGTTGGGCAATCTACTTCCATAGTGATACCGCCTCAGAAACCCAAGGAAAGGTTGCTATAACTCAGATCCAACTCGACAACAGTGTTTGGTTTTTGTTTAGTTACAGTAGGAAGGAAAATGTGGGAGAAATCAACTCAAGGGGTTATGAGGGAATTTTTTAGGATGAAGGGACTGTTCAATATGTTGATGGTGGTGGCAGTTACATATTTGCACACAACTACTAAACTACAACAAACTATACACACTTAAAACTGCCATTTTATTTTATGTAAATAATACCTTGATTTTAAAAAGAAAAAAAAGCCCAAAGTTTAGAGGTATTTTAATGTAAGAATTTACATTTAGTGTGCTCTTGCACCAAACATAAATGCCATAAAACTCTAGATACAGCTAATAAGACATTCATTTCCTATGATTTTTAAGGGAGTGAGGAATCAAGAGAAGTAGTCAGGCACTATGTATATTCTGTAACTTTAGTATTTCAGTATGATTAAAAAAATGTAAAAACAGTAATTTATTTGTACCTGATCACATACTCTTAAATAAGACAGACCATAAATTGGTTCAGTATTTCTAAATGGCAATTTGGCAACACAAAACGGCAGCCCTGAAATTCCATGTACCCCCTTAAACCAGTAATTCCATTTCTGGGAAATTATTCCATGAACGTACACTGAGATTGGCTATAAGACTGTTCACTACTACATTATCATTTAAAATAGGAAACAATATGGTACATCCCAAATGTCTACTGATAGACAGTTCATTTAAAAATTACATTTTACATGATGGAATACTTTATATCTACTTAAAATCACACCGTAGAAAAATATCAAAATGCATGGAAAAACACACACTAAATAAGTAGCCCTGGTGGTGCAGTGGTTAAGTGCTGGGCTGCTAACCAGAAGGTCAACAGTTCAAACCCACCAGCTACTCCACAGGAAAAAGATGTGGCAGTCTGCTTCCGTAAAGATTATAGCTTTGGAAACCCTATGGGGCAGTTCTATTTTGTCTCATGGGGGCACTATGGGTTAGAATCAACTCAATAGCAATGGGTTTGGTTTTTGGTTTCTAGATTACATAGGAAGAATTTATAAAACAGTATTATAATTCTGTTGTAGTAAAAAATGTGAATATATATCTTATTGCAGTTTCTTTGCCGTTGTTGCTGTTATGTGCCATCAAGTCGGACCCAACTCATAGTGACCCCTCCTTGGGTTTCCGAGGCAGCATCACTACATAAGTAGACTGCCCAACCTTCTTCAAAGGAGTGGCTGGTGGGTATGAACTGCAGCCTTCTGGTTATAAAAAATGTTACGAGTCATTAAATCTGGTGATCTCATTTTATTTGTGTATTATACATCATCTCAAGAAATACGTATTTTTTTGTTATTGCAAAATGTCATTTTGTCAAAATGTCATACAAAGGTTCAAAGGTAACTCATCACCAAACCTACTGCCACTGAGTTGATTGGGACAGAGTAGAACTGCCCCATAGGGTTTCCAAGGCGATAATCTTTACAGAAGCAGACTGCCACATCTTTCTCCCGTGGAGTAGCTGGTGGGTTCAAACTGCTGACCTTTTGGTTAGCAGCCGAGCACTTAACCACTGCACCACCAGGGCTACTTAGTGTGTGTTTTTCCATGTATTTTGATATTTTTCTATAACACAATTTTAAGTAGATACAAAGTATTACATCATAAACACCTTTTAAGTATTATCAAAGTAAACAATGTGCTTTTGTTTGGTTTGCTACATTTTCATGTGCAACTTTTTTAGACTCCATCAATTCAGAATTTTTACAGTATTAATAGAATGTCAGACAATCAGAGCAGAATTTAAGGAGTTAATCAATCAGATTATAACAAGCACACTTCTAAAGACTGCCTACATCTAGTCATTCCTAATAACTGACAGTGCTGAGGCTCCCTAGAGGCTGAGTCAGAATAACCAAGCTAAGTGAACCAAACCCAATATAAGGTGTCCAGATGAAGACTGACGTAGACCTCTCAGGACTACCTCCAGTATGAGCCAGTGTCTAAATACAGACTCTAAATATAGACACTTAAATCCATAGTATCCAACCAGTTGAAAATTGACCTCAAATATACAGAGCTTATAACCATTGATTGAATTATCTATAATCTGAACTGTCACCCTCAAAATTAATAGGAATATCAAAAATAAGAAAAGTGTTCATTATCAAATGATTTTCTATTAGTCTCCTCTTCTACCACACCCTAATGAAGGGTCAAAGGGGCTAATGCAACAAGTACATTAAGAAAGAAAAACTGATGGTACCCAGCTACTACTACTGCACATTTTGATCAAAGATTCAAAAAGAGGGAAATGCAGAACAGAATTTCAAATTGTCATATAATGCAAATATTCTGGAGCCATGAAAGACAGATGAACCTCTGGAACTACTGTCCAAGATCTTTAAATCTTATACCAAAAATATCTCCTGAAATCTTAAACCCAAACATAGCTTAGTTGAACTAGTAAAGAATGCCTGCCTTAAGCGTTATACTCTTTTATTTTCCATCTATATGGGATCAAACTGACAACAGCAACTGGAAAGATTACACAGAAACCTTAGGAAGCAATGAGTTTATGTTAATGGAGGAGAAACAACTCTAAAAAAGAGAGTGAGAAAGCTTGCACAACTCAAAAAATATAATCCATGTCACTGAACTATACATGTAGAAACATGAATTGGTGTTTATTTTTGCTGTGTATACTCTGACAACAACTAAGTAATTATTTTTTTATCTTTACTGTGATTTGGGTGAAAATTTACAGAGCAAATTCATTTTCCATACAGCAGTTCACATACACTTTGTCTCATGACATTGACTACAATTTACCACAACGCAGCAGCTCTCTTCTCATTTGCTCCCCATAGTTACCTCTTCCCTGTGTCCTTCCCTCCCATGCACTCCTGCCCCCTGAGCTGTCTCCCTGTGCCCTACCATTCTCCCATGACTGATCTCTTCAAGCAGTGTATCTACCTAATATAAATGTTCAGCTCATATGCCTAACTTTTGTTTGGCTGGAAGCCACAGGAGTGGGTTCAATTCTAGACCTGAAGGGCAGCTAGGGGCCATAGTCTAAGGGGTTTCACCAAGCTCTATCAGATCAGAAAACTTGGTCCCTTTTATTTCTTTATGATTTTGAGTCTAAATAAACTATTTTTTTAAAAAAATGAAGAAAAAGCTTTCATAGAATTATCCTTATTTCAATTTCCTCTTGGTTAGTAATTGATAAACATTTGAATCTTAAAACATCAAAATTAGTTTAATGTATCCTGGATAGAGTAGGAGAATGATGTGGAACATAAACTCAAAATCATCTGAAAAAAGGGACCAGGTTTGCTGGTCTGACAGAGCGTGGTGGAACCGCTGACTATAGCCCCTGGCTCTCCTTGAGGTCTGGAATTGAACCCACACCTGTGGCTTCCAGCCAAACAAAAGACAGGCATATGAGCTGAACATTTATATTAAGTAGATACACTCCTTGGAGAGATCAATTATGGGAGAATAGAAGGGCTATGTATGCACAGGGACATAGCTCAGGGGGCAGGAGTGCATGGAGGGAAGGACACAGGGAAGAGGTAACTATCAGGAGGAAGTGAGAGGGAAGCTGTTGCATTGGGGTAAATTGTAGTCAACGTCATAAGACAAAGTGTATGTGAATTGCTGTATGGAAAGTGAATTTGCTCTATAAACATTTACCCAAATCACAATTAAAAACAAAAAAAAATTAGTGTAATGTAGACTCCAGGAACTGAGGTACAGAAGAAATAACAGAT